GGGGAGGGTTAGTATAAATTTGTTCCTGAGCAGCATCAGGGAGCTTCATGAGCAGTCATGTCAGGGGTTTTTTTTGGGGGGGGGGGGGGGGTCTAATGTAATAAATATGTAAATATAAATAAACATATACATATATAATATTTATGTTTATATATCATATTCAGGTGTACATTTCTGAGCTTACATAACTGCTGATTCTCTGGTTTAGAGACATAGTGTTGGTTTCTTTTACAACAAATGTATCAAGACACTAGAAAGAAATTCCTTGTGTTTAGTAAAGTATCTATTTGAAGGCTATAAAGCAAGCTTGTTTCCTGCTGTGGTTATTAATTTGCTTTATATTTATTTCATGTTACCTTAATATAATACAAATCCTTATTGATCTGGAAGATTCTGTTGGAAACTAAAGCTATGTCTATACTACAAAGAAAAGTCGAAAAAAGATCTGCAAATGCAAACCGCAATTGCGTATCTTTTTCCGCTTTTCTTCCGTAAGAGGTTTTTCCAACATTTGGCCCACCTATATGGGGACAAATGTCAGAAAAAAACCCTCTTTTGGAACATCCCTTCTTCCCCATAAAACAAGGCTTACAGGGATGCCGAAAAGCGGTCTGCTTTTTCTAATTTTTTTTTCAGAAAAGCAGAGGACGCTGCAATTCCTTGGACGCTGTAGAGGTTTTCCAGGATACCTCTGGTATCCCGGAAAAGCTCTACGGTATAGAGATAGCCTAAGCGGCAGATCTTCTGCTGGTGTATGTTACCATTGTTACATTGATGTCTAAGTGGCTATGACAATTTACACCAGCTAAAGAACTGTCCCTAAATCTGTTGTGCACATTCATTGAAATAAGCTTCATCAAGCCCATGCTCAGTTTTCTTGTTGTTGGAAAGCTCACATGATGCCTCCACAACTCAAGGATAAGCCGGTCCTTTGAAAAATAGCCATTTCCTGTGGTAAAACTCAGGAATTGAATGTTAACAGTCATTCTTCTGTAGCCAAAGAGTGGGAGGATGCTTATAGTTGAAACAACCATTTATATTTACTATGAGTTATTTTTGGAGCAGTTATTTGGAGCAGAGTATTTATAAATGTAGGAGATTTTTGTTATCTGTACAGTTTTCTTTGAATGGAATAATTTTTTAAAAAAATATCCTTGGATTGCAACAAGTGTATGAGGAAAACAGTGGAAAGCACAAAATATACATAGCAATGGCAAAAACACTCCTTTTTATATTCTTGAAAGGTTTGTGATAGAATTTTTTTTAAAGAGAGAGAAAGATGATTCTGTCATTAGGGTGTCTGCTTGGACCTTTGTCTCAAAATGCCCTCCACCACCACAGATGAACTATGTGATCTGGGGCAAGACACTTATTTTCTGTGCCTCAGATCCCAGCTGAAAAAATGAGATAGAACTTTCTTACCTCACAAGAGTGTTGTGAGGATAAATACATTAAGGAATGTGAGTCATACAGACACTAAAGAGATGGGAGCCACATAGGTGCCTGAGAAAGGATAGATAAATAGGGACCTCGGATTCTGGTTTTACAAAGGTATCAAAGTAGGGGACATGATTTTAAAAACAATCTTCAGCAGCTCTTATCAATTTTACTTTAGGCACCCATTTCTGATGGACTTGGTATCTTGTTGATTCCAGCATGCTTAAGCTCATTAATGGTGGGACTGGGAGATGACAATGAGCTTTAGTAGAGTCAAATATTTTTAACTTGTTTCCAGAATTTATAAACTATGGGGTTTTCAAGAACAAATTTTAAAGAGCTAAAGATTTACATACTCTGAAGAATTGTGGGTAGGAAATGAGATGCTCTCTGCAAAGTGTGGCAGAGGGATCAAGATGGCCTTCTGATTTCATCTATAATTTCCCAGCCGACATAGATGGCAGAAAGGATTCACAAGTGATTAAGTATAAATGCATAGACATTTATAATGATGGTATTAACTAATATTTTATTTCCAAAGGTAATTCAATTTACAAATATTTCATTTTATAATGAGAAGTCCATACTATATGTAAAGGATAGAAGACTATCTCTCATGCTATAAATAAGTGGATCTTTTATAATTAGAATTACAAACTTCCTCTGTTTCTTCCTTTCTATCTCGGGGGGTTATTCACCCTGGTTTTTTTGCTGAATTATTTTTCTCACTGGCCTCTCTTCCATTAATTATTTTGTTACAAATTCTCTCTGAAATTGTACTGGAAACCAACATTGTTCCAAGCTGAATGAATCTTTCAAACTGACACATGGGGGATAGAGAAAAATTCATGGTTAGTGGGAGAGAATGTAGACAAAAAGTGTCTTCTTAACCCCATTACCAGAATACATAGAAGCAGGAATTTGATATGTGGGAGTTTGTTTATCCCTTATCCAAAGGTGGGTATGCTCTTTTTGTCTCAGAGACAGAGCAGCTTGCTTGTGTTTCAATTATTAAAAGTAGATTTGACAGACCAGTTGGTAATTGTTTTGATATAATTCCAATTTGGAAAGGCCAGGCTCTTGATCTGTGCAAATGGGTCTAGCCCACCAACATTAATCTTCAAGCAATCTCTGAAACTCCAGACAGTAGCATGAACAGACCAGGGTTGGAATATTATCCTGAACAGCAGGAGAGAGCTGAAATAGGTATTGATTTGTGGATATTTGTGTCAGTGGGAGGACACTATCTAGAAGGTACAGTAAGATGTCATGTATTCAACTCGAGATGGTCTTTAAGACATTGGATAGGGAAGGAGTTTTGAAGTGGTATAAATTAATAGCCACACAGCCTTGTGTTGGAGTCTTCCACGATGACATACCGTAAGGATATGGAATAAAGCTCTGTGAGTGGCTGAGTATATTGACATTATCATCTAAATTAAACTATTTTTTTTAGGACATGCTTAGTCACTTGGCTGCTAGCCCTCCAAAGGAGCATCCGTGCTATTGCATTTTTTTTTTTTTTTGATATGCCATTAAATTCAAAGGAATAGGAAAGGAATAGTGCCTGGTACATCTGACTGCGGCAGAAGAGCATTCTGCCAGATGTACACCCTTTTCCACAGTGGTGAAGTTAAGTAGCCCAATCCAAAGTTATGTGTCTTTCTCCAATATTATATCACTATGCATATAGATGGGAGTGAAGTGTGTGAATAGGAGCAGATGGAGGTTGATGCCTGAGTTTGAACTTTTCATGAAGCTCCTGGAGTGCTTACGATAGAAGGCAATTGTTCTAGATTTGCCTACGGTTATCTAGTTTAAATGGGGTTCTCTCCTATTGGGACAATTTAACTTGAATTTGTAAAATGCTTTGGATGTTTTGATCTAGACTGTGATTTTCAAAGTCATCTAAGGGAATTAAGGAGCAACTTCTACTGAATTTCAGTGTTAGTTGAGCATCTAATTCTTTTGGGGTCCTCAATCACAGCCATAGTCCCTGCAAAATTACAGAGAAGGGCATAATATGTTATGAGTATTTGCAATCTCCACAGATTCTGCATAATCTGGGCTTTATAGCAAATAAACCAGAAATATTTTGGGTTTTAATTTCAACTTAATCTCTAAATTTGAGCTGGAAGTGACAAATTAAGATTCCAAGCAACAGATTAAAAACACCTGCTATCTCTGGAATCTCAGGTTTGAATCCTGGCAGACTCAATTTAGCCCTTCATCATTCCAAGGCATTGTAGATAAACTGAGTTCTCCTTGCAATAAACTGTGTGGATTTTTCAGATGGGACCTTGTGTACAGGGGATGTGTGCCTACACTGCATGAACGCAGTGATCCTGTTTCATTTGTCAGACACACATAGGTAACAGCATAGGTACATTATTAAAAAATACCCTTCCCTTACTGTGGGTTATGTTGTGCCTGGGTTGCATAGAAGTGGTTACATTTTAGTATTTAAGTCTATCATGAATGAAGCATTTTGGAATGAAAGGATAACTATGTGCCTCAATCAAACCAGTTAAAACTAGAAACTAGGCGTTACAGCAGAGAGCCTACATTTTCCTGTAATATAAGGTAAGAAAGTTGCCTAAAAATCATGATCCTTGACTATGGCAGTGTGATCAAGGGTAATCTTTAAGTGTATGGCACCGAAGATTCTGAACAATAAGTATGCATTTGGTGGGGAAGGGATGTTTATGTCCCATATAGATGGAAAGACACTGTGTGCCTCTTAGATGAAGTGCAATAAATTACAGCTGGTTGAACCCATCCACACCATCACACCTATCAATACAATTATTTGTAATTAAGCTGATTTTGGCTCTCCCCCTCTGTTTTGCTAAGGATGCACTTTTCTTCTTCTGTGGGTCCTAGCTTTAGAGAAGGAGGTTACCATTAGCTTCACAAAAGTGTTAGTCTCCTGCTATACTTTTCACAATCAGTTTTCCCTTAGGAAAATCACTAAACTTTTCACTTTCCCATGATTTTAGTTACTCCTTCAGGAGTAGGGGGTCAGAAGCAGAAAGTGAGTATTTCTCTCTCACACACGTTTTATGCAACGGAGTGGGTCCAACTGTGCAGCGACAGATTATGCAAATCCTCCAGAAGCAGCAAATCAATCACAGTGGTGTGAGACGAATGCAGCTGATCTCTGAATTAGCTTCCATTGGAATGTATTCATCTGTAACGTGTCATTCAGAGAGTGACATCACAATAGCTTCTAGCCCTTGAAAGTCTTGAGGTTGATTAGCTGAAGGAATTGGCCGTTTCTGCCAATCAAAATCGTGCAAAGCTGCCTTTATAGTTCTGTAAAAATGAGAGAAAGTGGTGTGAGACGAATGCAGCTGATCTCTGAATTAGCTTCCATTGGAATGTATTCATCTGTAACGTGTCATTCAGAGAGTGACATCACAATAGCTTCTAGCCCTTGAAAGTCTTGAGGTTGATTAGCTGAAGGAATTGGCCGTTTCTGCCAATCAAAATCGTGCAAAGCTGCCTTTATAGTTCTGTAAAAATGAGAGAAAGGGAAAGA